TGTGGAAGAACTCCTTTACAGTAAGGGTGATGGAGCACTAAAAAAGTTGCCCATTGGGATTGTGGAGACTCTTTCTATAGAGGTATTCAAGACTTGTCTGGATGCCTACTTGTGCAACCTATTGGGAATCTGCTTTAGCAGGGAGTTTGGACTCAATGATCTCTGGAGTTCCTTTCCAACTCCTGTGATTCTGTGATCTTTAAAGTCCCTTCCAACCCAAACTGTTCTACGAATCTATGATTTTCTTAAATACACTACTTGGGAAAAGAACTTAAGCCATTCTTGCTACATGGACATTTGCAAGGAATAGAAGGGGAATGAGTCTTTAACTCAGACACCCAGTAGGCATTTTTTTTTTTTTTCTGGAAACTGGTAGGCATTAGAGCTTACTGTATATTTTATGATTGTGTTTAACTTTCAAGAACATTTAGCTACTAGACTCTTTAAGAGAAGTAATGAATTTAGACACACACACAAAAGGAAAGTCTGTTGAAATTAGAAAATGTTGTGACTCAAAAATAAGCTATGGGAAAAAAATATGTGCCCTGAAATAATAAAATTTTAGTGTTCGTCTTTTTGAAGGCAGAACTAAATTTGAGTGCTTGCTCTGTATTGTTTATGAGGAGACCTGATGTTTTGCATAGTCTAACCATCAGTTAGTGGCTGTGTCTGGTGAGTGTTTGTTCGTTTTTCACCGAAGTGGTCATGTCATACCTGCTCTGTTTTATATACAAAATTATATCAACCAGAAAAACATGACTAACTTGGACACATGGGAGTATGAAAAGTTTTTGCTTGAGGGTGTCCAAATGTACAATTGGAGCTTTTGGAAATCCCAAAATTTTTCATGAAGCTCAACTTCAGAGAAAAAAGAATAAAAGAATGACTGGGAGATCAAGTGAGCTAGGAGCTAGGATCCTACTTTTAATATATTTTCATATGGATATTACTATTGAAAGTATTCAGTATTAATCACATTGTGCTGTTTTCTACAGTCAGGTTAGAAACCTTCCCCTTGTACCATCCTCCATATTTTCACCACATAATGAACAGCTGAGGAATTCCAGTTATACGTATACATTTCTTAGCTGTTTTATGTACCATGTTTTTCTGGTGAATGTTTATTTAGAACACTAATCACAGATATAATATTGTATGTCTAGGTCCGCTTAATGTACTGAATGTATATTGAGCAGGGAGATGACACCTTGCATGGAAAGAAGGGAGTCTCCATGAATAGAATATTTGTAGAAAGACTCAAACATCTGCAAGAAGTTTACAGGTTATCTTTATGATTTTGAAATATTATTATTAATAATCAAATTTGTATAGTATTATGATTTTCAGTTTTATATTTGTGTTGATGACAAATCTGTGAAGGACAAAGATGAGTTTGATAGACTCTATTTTATGTACCTCATCAGTGACGTCCTTGGAGTGACTCATCAAAGGCAAGAGAGTGAGACAAAGACATTTTCTATTTTAACCCAGAATCACAGTATGACCATTTTGCCTTCAGGTACCAATTACATCCAGCAAGCAGTAGTAAAAACATTATCTTTCAATTCACGTGGTTTGAGAACTTCATAAACTCTGCTATCCTACAGTGTCAGGACCATTTAGATGAAATCGCTAGATGCATAATTAAGTAAGAAATATTCAGGAACCAGTGTATTCTCTTTGCTTTTATTTTCTGTTGTTTGTATACTATCACTTCAATGGTTTTATTTCATGTTAATCTGGAGCTCTCAATCATTCTTCTTCAGCGATCTCTTGGGTCTTCCTAAGATACTATAGGCAGATGAAGAACCTCTTTTTTGTTTTTGTCTTTGCATTTTCTAGAACTGCATTGCTCTTTGTGTCTTAGTGTTATACTTTACTTTTCTGCTGACTTTAATAGGGCGCTCCCTAGTTTCTCACTAGTTTCATGAACTGTGGTTGATATTGGGCTATTTTAACCTTTCTGATTTAGAACACAGGAAAAATGCTATGAACTGTGAGTCTACTTATTATGAATGTTGAAATATTGTTTAGTTTGTACTGCTGTCAGCTTAAAATGCAGTAATTGTTAAATGCGTAATGTTATTCAATTAGCTTACACTTTAAGTGATAGCACAATACAAAACTGTGCATCTAACAATTCTCATTTCAGGAAATAGTGATGTGGTTTTATGCATCTGAAAAGAAAATGATTCGGCCTAAGCCAATTAAGTTTTGTCTTTTCAGGTTTCCTTAAAATCCAATTTTATAGATCTAATTTAAACAAAATCCAATTTAGAGCATTGGTTGTCTTGAAAACTGGAAAAAGAATGTGGATTGGTTAAGCAAATAGACTTTCTAATTTTCATATTGATTCTTAGCCATTGACAATCTAATCTGAAAACTCAGTGTCCTTTTCGTACCTCATACTGTGTGAGATACAGACCAAGAATTAACTTTGAGAGGATGTTATATTATACAGAACAGTTTCTTAATAAGATGAAAATTTATACTCACATTTTGACATTTTGTAAAGTGCTAAACAAAGAATGCTATTTCTCCTTATTAGGATTATTGTAACAGCTCTTCAGTTTTCAAAAGATAGTCCACTAATTGGAATATATTTTTTCTGTATATTTTGATACACAATGTTCTGGCTTTCAACTGTTTTTTTTTTTTTTTTAATTAATATTTTATTTCTAGCAGGAAATTGTGGTTTAATGGAAGATTATTGACTTTATGATAAGTTACTTTCCTTGGAATTTTTGTTTCTTCTATTTGTGTTGATGATGTTCATAAGTCTAATAACAACACGTTTTTAACTGAAGGGCTAAAAAAAAAGCCTTTGGAGAAAGTTTGCAGCAAATAACAGTTCATATTTCCTGAAGTAAGCAAATTCAGTCACTGAGAGAGAGGGAACTCTGATGTCCACAAAGAAGAGAAGCATCCTCTCCTGCTGGGCTGTACCTGTGTGCTGAATGCAAGAAATGTTGGGTCTCTAGAGGAGGAGTTGCTGGGAAGGTGGCATGCCAGCACTTCTAACTGCTGTGTGTGAACCATTTCCTGACTTAGGAGGCATTGGAGAGAATCAGGCACTAGATAGCAGTAAAGCACTAGTAAAAACTGGCATGGAGTAAGGAGGACAGAATTCTTTACGAAACACTGTGATAAATCTACTGTTAATCCTCACATTCCTCTATGTTGTTGTATTGAAATGTGATACAACATTTTGTGTTTTGATGTAGAAGGAAAGACTAAACTAACATCAAAATAACCGTATCAGTCTATGCCTCAAAGACATTAGTATCAACATGCATGTAATCATTATTTCCATTCTTACATACATACATACATATGTATGTATGTGCCATACTTTTTCTGTTTTTATCAAAACAGTAGAAACTTGAGATAATTTTGGGGCTGGTTTGTGTACGTAATGAACTCTAGTCTGCCCTCAGCACCAAAGAATGCACATTCTCTCTCATCTACAAGATACCCAGCTGCTATAAACTTGATTTTTGCTAATTGGAGTAACTGAGTACACATTTGTGTTGAAGACTGTCACTTACACTAATTGTCTAATCAGTGCATTTCAGATATTGAGCTATATGTAACGTGGGATGCCACATTTGACATAAGTAATCAGACCATGAAAATGTTACACTTTTAATATCATTCTTATTAGCATAATTCTTGTGGCCCAGCAGTTCTTACACTCCTAAGTCACTTACATGGATTTATTTTTCATATTGTTTTACCGGATAATCCAGTCATCCCAATTTCTGCTGAAAAATGATTAGGCTACTGGAATAGAGAAATACAAAGAAGATACAGAGTTCTTAAAGAAGAAGGGAAAACAATCCTATGCCATCTGTAATATTTACATTGCATTGCTTTGTGAAAAAATGTGGAGTAAGCCTCAGAAAATGCTGTGATTGAGGGAAAAGATGAAACATTTACTGAAAGCATGCTGATTATCTGATGCTGGTGTAGGGTTATTTAAATGAAAATGGGAGAATGCATTATGTACATGAAGGCTACAAGATCAATAACTAACCATATACATCTAATTTAAGGAATGTACTTATGTTTTTGTGGTTTTTGTTAAATGATCTCAACATTGACATATTTCTGAAGAGTCAGTGTGGACTGTATTACTTAAAATTTGCCTTGCCTGTGATTGAGGAGAGAATTTTATGCCACCTCTGGCAAAATATACTGTTTTGTAAAAGTGTATTCTTCATAAAAGCTGCCATGCCGATCTGTGAGCTGCATGATAATACAAACATATTTAAACAAAACTGTCAAATCCTAAAAAGAGATTTCTTTCCACTGAACAAAAAAGGTATTTCTCCTGGTGTTTATTTGAATATTCTATTTTATGTGGAACCACTGGGACAGACTCTGGGGATTCAGGGTCATATTTTAACTTCAATGCAGTATTCTGGTGTGACTTCATGTTTATTTCTTATTTGTAATACTATGGCAATATTTGTTTTCTGTCACCTTTAATCTATTTGTCTTTATGCAATATCCAGTTTTCAAGGCTACCTCTTATTTTATGTTTATAAAATGTACAACTGAGCCCTGATCGTGCTTGGGATGTCTAGCTGCCACCCCTTTTTCCTAATTTACTTCTTACTCTATTCCCTCCCTAATGCCTTTGTATGTGTTTTCCCTTGTACAAGTCACTCATCAAAATTCTGGTAAAAAGGATAAAGGAAAAACAATATGAGAAAAAAGAAGTAACAAATCTGATACAGAGAATCATGGATGAATAATTCGCTTCATTTTATATTCACAGTTTGAGCAGGAAGAAGATTAAAGAGACTGTAGCTTAAAAGATTTTTAATACATATTTTTTTATTCCATTTTGCCTGAAGTACCTGTATGTTTGTAGTGGATAAAGATGTTTTACTTTCCTTTAGCATATTTTTAATTGAAGCATGTTCTCACAATGCAATTCTACGCCTTTTGGCATCAACCCAATAGCAGATATCTAAAAAAAAATTTTTTTTCAGTGATTCAGTGTTGCAAGGAAGCAGCAGATCCATTCCACTTTGGAGATGATGATACTGATTAGGCTAGTGCTGGTAGGTACTGTGATTTTTATGAAAGTCTTGATAGCAAATGGATGTAGCAGTTTGTTTTGTCTAAGTATTGCAACAAGGTCCTGGCCCAGGCTTATTCACTTCTGTACCACTGAGTTGTCTGTGGTGGTTTTTGTCTTTTTTTTTCATATTTCTGAAGCTGATTCATCTCTTGGAATGATATCTTGTATCTTTTTCATAGGGCCCCATTGGTGTCTTGGGTCATGATTCAGAGATAGCTTGCAAATTTTCTAATACTCTGTGTTTTGTAACAAGAGACCCCTTTTATTTATTTATTTGTTTATTTTTCTGTCAAACTTTGCATAATTATTGAGTATAAAGAATAATGGTGGAAAGCAAAGAGTATCCGTTTGTGGTACAGTGCTGTGGGAGCTGAGTCAAAGGTTGTCAACACAGGGAAGAGAGACAGCACCTCTTTTTTTTTTTTTTGCATATAGAGCAGGTTTTTGTGTTCCTACACACATAACTAGACTGATCTTTGCATTTACCTTTTTATTTTTTCTAATGAAATCATGTGAACCAAGTGGAGATCCTGAACTCATAATTCAGCATGTAATTTGCACCTACTTTATCTAACATCTAGTAGACTGTGTAAAACCAGAGAGATTATCTTGTCCTGATAGCTTCTGATTTGGAGCAGTTCAAAAGCTATCAGAAGAAGCCATTTCTTTCTAAATATTAGTATTTTTTTTTTTTTTTTTTGGTAGATAAATGTTTTAAGAGAAACCAAGTGTGCTTTTTAGGAACTTTGTCAATGTTATTAATTTTTTCAGTAGATCTTTTAGTAGATTCTGGGGTGCATTAAAAGCAGTGTGGCCAGCAGTCAAAGGAGATGATCTTCTACTCTGCCCTAGTCAGGCCTCGCTGGAGTACTGTATCCAGTTCTGGGCACTTCCATACAAAAAAGACAGGGATTTCCTGGAAAAAATCTAGCAGAGGGTCACAGAGATAAAGGACCTGGAGCATCTCTTCTGTGAAGAAAGGCTGGGTGACTAGTGTCTGTTCAGCCTTGAGAAAAGAAGGCTGAGAGGGCATCCTATTAATGTTTATAAATATTTAAAATATAGGAGAGAAAGGGAAAGAGGATGGCCATGTCCAGTGGTCTGTGGGGACAGGTCAAAGGCAAATAGCCATGAACTGGAGCGTAGGAAGTTTTGCACCAATATGCGAAATAAGTTTACGGTGAGGATGACAGAGCATTGGAACAGGCTGCCCACAAATGTGGAGTCTCCTTCTCTGGAGATATTCAAGGCCACCCTGGATGCCTACCTGCACAGCCTGCTGTAGGGAGTCTGCTTTGCCGGGGGGTTGGACTTGATCTCTGGGGGTCCTTTCCAACCCCTACAATTCTGTGATTCTGTGATCCTTAATGTAAATTTTCTACACATCATCATTTATTGCCAGTCAGCTTTAATAATAAAGCCAAATATTACTTAAAACTCTATTTTGGGGATTTATCTTTGTGGTAATACTGAATACCCTCACATAAAAACTTGAATAAAATTATAATATTTTGCTAACATAAAATATATCTCAACATTTATGAATAAATTCTAGATAAACAAGTATTAAAATAAATTTTAATCTAGTAATGCAATTTGATCTTCTTTCATGTGGGCTTTTCTGTCTGTCTCAAAATGAAAGAAACTGAGAATTTTCCACATTTTATATCCGATTCTGTATAGATTCACAAGTCATTATAAAATATCTATTTATTTAGTAGGCTTGCAGATTATAAGTAACTCTTTTACAAATGGCAGCACTGTACGATAGCTTAGAGCTTCAGAAAATGAGGTAAGTTGAAACACTTAAAAGCTTTACCAATTAAAGATGAATTTATTTTGGGTTGATAAAACTGATAAGTAAGTTGAAAATTCCCAGCTCTCATGGATTAATATTCCCTCTTAGTAATGGATGAAAGTGAGATTTTCTATGTGCACATGTATATAAAAATAAGAGTGCGGATAATACATAACTAGAATAAATTCTTCCTTTATATATCATTTGCCAAGATCCTAACTATGGCAGCTGCTCTTTTTCTTTATGAAATCATATTTGTGACATACTACTTTCACAATTTTATGCATCAGAGGAAATTATGAACCTCTAGGTACTCATTATGGTTTTTTGCATCAGAATGAAGTATTTTAAGGTTAATCTACTGGAAGATACATTTGTATTTAAAATACTTTTTAAAAGTGATATCTAATTACTACCCTTGTGCAGAGAAAAATCTCTGAGAAAATGCCTGTCAGGTGTTTAATAAATATATCTGTATATTCTTCTTTAGGAAGATGCTAACTGTTCTTAGGGCTTTACTGTAAAATAATCTTTTTACTTAATTTTTAAAGGCAACATGTTCATAGAAAGATGATAAATGGTTTTGGCTGGTGGGTGGTCATCTAAAAATACTACTTCTTATGAAAAATGCATAACATTAGGAAGCAAGGAGCAAGTGGCATCTCAGTAAGGTTGCACTCAAAGCACCTACACTGACCCAAAAGTAATGCCTCCTATTTATTTCCCCAGAAATGATGACAGATTCAAGGAGCACAGTAATATTATTTGATAAATTCTCAGCTAAAAAAACCTATTTTTCAACATGGTCACCATCATTAGTTACGCATTTTCACTAGCGATGAGCAAGACTCTGCATGCTCCACTCATAAAAATCTGCAGCAGTGGATGCGATCCTCTGTTGCTGTTGCAGGAAGGCACTAGCAACTTTTCAGATATGCTTAAAGAGTTCCCAGTAGATGCCAGCATGTTGCAATCAGCAGTGGGATATGGAGATTTTCCATGTTAGTAATGAATTATTGCTGGAAATCAGATGGAAATAAAATATGCATTAAAATATTTCAGAGTTGTTGTAGGACTAGTCTGTGCAAGGTAGTCTATTTTATTTAGTGTCTACTCAGTGTAAAAGTGCACCTGTTTGAGGAAGAGACAGGGGAACAATACATAACAATAAGTCACATGGTCAAGACTATTCATGTTAGTAACATTAACATCAACATCGAACTAAACAGTGACTTGTCCTCCAGAAAAAAAATTGTGTCTACCATGCTAAAGTTTTTACACTGACTCCAGCAGGAATGAGTGATTCCAGCAGAACTTTGAATTATCTTTAGAGTTTCATAGTGTGCATTGGTTCTGTTCTGTTGAATTAATTGATCTGTTCAAGACCCTTTCTGATACTGAATCTCAGAAAGACATCTCTTTTTTCTCCTTTTATTAGGGAAATGGCCCAGTTTTCCGCTTATTTTTCTTTCTTCTTCACTAGTAACAAACAAAGAGAACAGAGATACCCACAAATCAATTTTGTTTTGCACTCATGCAACTCCAAGCGATGCCTTTTAGTAACACAGCTTTTAAGCCTTGATTATTTTAATATATTTTCTATTTTTTTTTTCTGGTGTTTGTATGAATCTACAGTATTCTTCCCTGTGACATCTGTGCTTCTGTTATTATAGCCATCTTTAAAAATTTTGCTGTGCAATAACTTTCCTAAACATTTGTAATGGTTGATACTGTGTGCTGCCAAACCGTTAAGTACTTGCTGAGAGGTCATTTAAAGTCTTGCTCTCTTGAAGAATGTTTAAGTAAATAACTGTCAGCTGTGATCCTTGATCTAGCATAATTTCATCTGGTGTGTTTCATTTGTCATATGAATTTTATGAAAGATGTAAAATGTTTGGCAGTGGTATCCCTAACAATGTTAGTTCGTGAATGCTGGCACTAATAATTTGGAGCTGATTTGTTTTCCAGCTCTTTGAAGAAACAAACTGTTCTCCATTTTAGATGAATTTTAAACACATAATGAAGTTTGTTTGTTTGTTTCTGTTTTTCCTAAAAGAAATATCTTCTGGTTTTTCAGGCAAAACTCACAAGTAATTTCTAGGAGGGTGTTACTCCATGAATCTGATGACAGTTTTGTGAAACTGTAAACCATTAAATGTAGCCAGAAGTATATTTAACGAAATAGTTAAATTTTGTTTCTCCTCCTTTTCTGTATATTTTTCTGTGAATATGTCCAATGTCCTTTACTTACAGATGCTTTTTACTTTTCAGTTTATGACTATGAAGCCTATTCCAGTAAAAAGATCTGCTTACATAGAAATTAACTTTTTTTAGATGCTTTGCAGAAGAGTCTGCTGTGCAGATCCCATTACAAGATAGGAAGAGTAGCTGTGCAACTGCAAATTCCATGAGCCAGCAAATGTGCAGATTACTAGCCTAAAGTGATCTTGGCTTGTGTATAAATCTAGTAAACTGCTTACTACCAAACTTCACAAACTGCTGTACATTCCTAGCTTTATTTTCAAAGCAAGCAAAAGAATGGCTAATTTTTTACTCTTGACTATAGAGAAAGAATGAAAAAAAAAAAAAAGGGAGTAGGCTTAATTAGATCACACCTTTGTTCATTTAATTCACATGTGAGCTGCCTGACTTGGTCCCATTGCCCTGTACACTGCAGAGCCTTGTTCTCTCTGCAGTTCCTTCTTTTGGTAAAAGATAACTTTGATCTCACTCTCACTACTTTCAATCTGTCATTGAAACTATCCATTTCCTTCCAGAATGTTAAGAAGCCTGTGGTAAGATGACGCTTTTTTATGTCTTTCCAGTCCTAAATGTCTCTCATTTACTTTCATAAATGCTGTCTTTGTGAAGAGTCACTTCTCAATCACTGATCAGAGAAGTAAAATCCTTTCAGTGGAGCAACTTAAATTTTACTGTCTTTTTCTTACTGTCATGGCCTGAGTTCAAGGGGAACACGTTGGATCGTCTGAGCTGAGAGATTAGCTTTTTGAGGGAGAAAATAGTATGAGAAGCAGCATGACTACAAGTTGGTTCCTTAAGGTGAAATGTAGTTTAGATGTGGATTCTTCCTGTTTGTTTTTTTTTTTTTTTTTCTGATAGTTACTAATGAAGACTAATCCTTGTAGAAATTGTCTGTACAGAAACATGAGAAGATTGTTCTTGAGTTTGTTCTCAAATTGCCCCAGGTTCCCTTCCTAGTGTTTGATAACTGATGGATAAGGTGGTATTTCAAGCAGTTTTAGCCTTGCTTGTGAGAATTTCTTTGGTACTTCTACAGAGAAAGATCCTGAAGTAAAGAAAAATCTTGCCTACCAATACGCTACTATTATCTTGACTGGCTCTGTCTCAGCTGGCTGTGCTCTTTATTGGTTTCTTTGTCTTAGTGAAGTGGAGGCATATGCATACTTTTTTTTTTTTTTTAATCTCAGTTTGAGTGCATTGACTAGTCATAATGCTGTTGAAGACTTCTAAGTTACAACCCATACAGCTATCGTGTGCTGTGTAACAGAGCGCAACAAATGTGTAGTATACGTTTTTTCTTGCAGTTTTACTTGAGAGGGAGGTTCCCTTTTTGTTCCAATAACTTCCCTGCCTATTTGTTTGATTTGGGATATGAAAAACTGAGATGAGGAGAGAGATGTGTGTGTTTAAAGAATAAATAAATAAATGTAGGGATGAGGTAGAGTTTGTTGTGAAGTGCTAGGACTTCAGACAAATCTTCAGTCTTGAAATATGTCTACCTAAAATGTTTGGAGAAACTTTCCTACTTGACTGAGAATTCCCTCAATCTTAAGTTTTTGCTTTTATGCACTTTAACTTCTTTCATATATGCCAGAAGTAGTAGAAGTCTGAGTGACTGTGCAAAGTCAGTGTGCAAATTATTTTAATTCACGATTCTTAAGTTGTCTGTTTGATTCAATTTCTAAGTATGTGCTCTGACCTCCTGACAAAGTCTGGGAAGTTCGGATGTACTTGATTCTGTCTCTGGGAAACTGTGGAGTGGATGAAATTATTCCATAATTGCTTTCCTGATTGGTACATGAAGTGTTAAATTAAGAACACAAAAATAATCTTTTTTGGAATCTTAAGATGTTTTTTTGTTTGTGCATGTGCACGTACATTCATGTGTTCTTTCATGCAAGTTAGAATTTGGAGAAAATTTGGAAGATTAACTTTTTTGTTTCTAGAGTAAAGAACTGTGACACTCACATACTTGTCACTTGTTGGGTAACCTAAGTAAGTGATCATCTTAAGCCTCAGTTTAATGTTTAATTAGAGTTAAGCTTGGACATCAAAAAGAAGAACTGAATTCTGAATAATAGCTAGACCACAGATATGCATAAAGTAATTGTAAGTTCTGGAGCTATTCACTAGTGTTGCAACATTCTTCTCACTTTCTGGAACAAGTCAGTTAAAGAAATGCAGTGGTATTAACACCATGACAAATTTATAGTTGTCTTCGAGGTATGTAAAAACTGCTTAGGATGCAGTTGGATAGGCTTACAATGGTCTTGGAGATTAATAAAAAAAAAAAAAAAAAAAAAAAGTACGACATTCTCTTGTCCCTAAGAAATGGATTATGCGTAAAAAATGCACTGATACTGCAACAGCACATAGATCAACTGAGAGAACATGCTTTGCTGAAGTGTTGGTAAAACTGTGAATGTGGGATGATGAATTAAATAATCTTCGAAGGACAGATAAATAGTATCTGAATATGAAAATGCAAACTGTGTGGGAGCATGTTGCAGCCATGCATGCTGCAGCAAATGTCTGCTCTGTGTAATAAAACAGTTGACTTTTGTTTTTGCCATTAACAGACCATGCTAATTAACGGTCTGATGCACCTTGTATATTGGAGTCCAAATACAGTATAATATTTTGCAGTATCAGTTACTCAAGAATAAAGCTCAAAATTCATCTTTGGCTTTATTAAAAAAATCCATTTATTTCTGTTCCTTTTTCCACTTTGAGTAGCCTTAGTCTTTATTTGATGCTTGCCTGTTTTACTTGTTTCTGAAATGTGCTACAGTTGCTCCAAAAGTAATGCCTCCTATTTTATTATCATGGCCTGTGGTGTCAAAGGTGGATGTTGGTGGTATGGCAGTAGAGGCTGACCTTTCCTTACCAGTCTTCCATTCCATTATGTTGTTGTCTGATAGATGGCAGCTGAGGGGCAGTCTGACAAAACGGTGTCTGACATGGAAGTGCAAATGAAGCAAAGGTATGTAACTGAATTTTTCTATGCAGAAAAAAATTGCACCTATTGACATTCACTGATGCTTGTTGCACACTTAAGGAGACCAAACAGTGATGAGAGCACAGTGAGGTGGTGCATTCCAGCGACAGTGGCTCTCCTCTGTTTTTGTGGATTTTTATGAGTATAATATTCAGGTCTTGTATGTCACTTGTGTAAATGTATAGGTAAGTACTGTGACTGTGCTGAAAAGTAATGTTTTGTAGCTGATAACTTATTGAAAAGCCATATTTAAATTTTTTTTTGGATCTTTTGAAATAGACAAGGATTTTTGTTTTTAATCCTAGGAATCTTAGCTGCTTTAATTTACAGAGCTCTTTTTTAGGTTTGAATGCTCTTAATGCACTTTGAAAGACAAACTTGGAGATGATAATGATGATCTTTTTTTCATTCCCACTTCTAACAGTTCAGTGGTCTGTATGTTTGCTTGGGGTGAAGGCAGGCATTCAAATCCCCTCTGTAAGTTTAGACAATATTTTTAGGCAGCTCTCCTAAATCACTGAGTGTTTATAGCAACTATAACCATTATAAGTCTTGTGATTGCTATGGGAATTTTTAGCTTCAGTGTGCAGCCAAAGGATGTCTAAGCTGTTTTACTTGCCATTTTGTATAATGGTCTTCATGCTTACTGTGAAGTAGATCTTGCTTTGTGATGCAGCTGAAGTAATGAAGACAAAAGTATTGTAGGATGTTTTTCATTTCCAGTCATAGAATATCCCAAGTTGAAAGGAACTCATAAGGATCATTGAGTCCAACTCCTGGCTACACACAGAACCACCTGAAAATCAGATCATATGACTCAGTGTTGTCTAATGCTTCTTGAACTCTGGCAAGCTCAGTACAGTGACTACTTACTTCCCTGGGGACTCCAGGGCCCCACCGCCCCCTGTTCCAAACCTTTTCCTAACATCCAGTAAGACTCTCCCCAGTGCAGTTCCATGCTACTCCCTCAGGTCGTGTTACTGTCACCAGAGTGAAGAGATCAGCTCCTGTACTCCCTGATTGAGTAGTTTTAGGTTTTTGAGAACTCCCAGCTTTACCAAAGCAATGAATGTTTAAGATATGTGAAGTATTAAGTGGATAAGCAGAATATTCTGTTCTAAATATGAAACATATTTTCAGGAAGTAAACAATATGTTTTGTAGATGAAGAAAATAGTACTAAAATTTTGAATGATTGAATGTTTATTGTGAATCATTTGTTAGGTCATGTGAGGTCATTTGTGTGTGTAATGAAATGAATCATAATGAAGAAGTGAAACCTGATTTAGAGTTTTTTTCCCTCTAAACATTTAAGCAAGTTATTTAGATGGTGTAAATTGAGAAAGACACATAAAGCTTGCCTTTAAACCCCAGCAAAAAGAGTTCTGATTTATTACTGTCTCTAGTAGTAATAGAAGGTTTATGTAGGCATTCTGAAATGCAAGATGACAACATTTGTGTGAAAGGTGAAAAACCTGTTATGTACTAAATTGTAACCACTGGCTGTAGTAAAGTATTTAAAGACCTTTTAGACAGCTGTTCATTTTGTTAATGAGGTAGCCTTAAATTTTAGGCATTTGTGTTTGTAGATAGCTGATAGAATTTATGTTGATAATAATTACTGTTATTACGCTTAGCAGATGTCTGTCTGTAAATGTACTGACTGAATAGTTTATGTGAGTAGTTTGTCTGCCATCTGAAATTTTAGTAAATAAACTGCTGCACAGTGTCTGATTAACAAGGGTAGGACAAAAGATATTTTGTAGTTCTCTGAGATGGGAATGAACAGAATCTTTGACAATTCATGGGTCAAACAGAAGTGATGAATAACCTCAAGGAATTCTGGCGCTTTAGAGAAAAAGGTCTTCTACCACTGGCTTCTCTGCCCAAAATCTTCCTTCAAAGCTTAAGTCTTTTATCTTTACTGAATACCTGTTGTCTTCGCTCAACAAGATCAACTATTTCCTTAATACTTGAAGACACTTATGCTCTTGCAGATAAGTCAAAATAAAATATTAAACGTCAGTCTTTGGAGATATGACTGGAAATAATGGTCTTTGCCATTACGTCATCCTTGTCTATAGGAAGCAAGTACCATTTGAATAACAGTAAGTGAAAGATAATGAGTTGGAAAGTGTTTGTTGTACTTTTAGCTTGTAAGACTTACATTTAAGAATATTTCCAGAAATGAATGCTGTTTTGTAATTATATAAGTCATAGTGCCGTTGTCTTACAGAGACATCAATAAATTAACAAAAAGCTCTATTTGTTGTAATTGCTTTCAGTTAGGTTTTTACTACCTTTGCCATTATTCATGTTAGCATTACTGGAAAGGGCTTTGCAATAATTACCACATCTTTCTACAAAAAGAGCAGTTGCTTTATTTACTGTTTGACAGTAAGGTCAGATAATAACAGCCAAAATAACATCCATGATTACAACAAAGCTCTCTTTCCTACAGTAATTGTGGTATTTCTGCAGAAAGAAGATGTAGTGAAGAATTTTTCTCTTGCTGTTGGAAGCATTGAAATATATGTCTAATATACAAGAGCATTTGAAAAATCTTTGAATGCAACAGTGCAACTTGCTAGATTCAGTGGAGATCAAAACCAACAGAGACAGGAAGTTTGGCATATCTTCCTAAGGTATATAAAAAAATTCATTTGATCCAAAGACTCTTACCATGAGTCATGTTTCTGTCATCTTCTTTAATATCATGATTAAAAAAAAGTAACCCACCAAAACAAAACAAAAACCCCGAAAAGCCAAATCAAGCATACCCAGTGATACAAAACGTAACAGTCTTGCACAGAGAGCTGTAGATGTTGATCAACATGCTAGCACACAGTTCAGTAGCCTAATCTACTTCGTTCAGGGATTGTTTTTTCTCTTTTCTCATTTTTTTCTTAATTTCTTCAAATAATCTCTTAATATTTCAATGTTTATATTTAAAAGAAAATCCAACTAATCTAACTAAATCCTAACTAAAATCAAACAGTGTGTTCTAGGCAATGTTCTGGGTGCATACTAACAAACTTGTTTTTTTTCCTAGAGTTTATAATTCTTTCAGCTGGTGCCAGGAAATCATTTTCTTTCCAAACGTTACAAACTCACTAACTTTTTGACCTTCTGAATTCCATTTTGTTTTCCTTTGATCCATGACTGGAGTTGGAAGATTTGCTTACTATATTTGAGTAGGATTATGTTCTGTTTTGTGGATGGCTGCATGCTCCATCTGTTGTGAGCAATAGAATTCAGATTTTTGTGCTATTTCTTGCCACTGATAGGCCTATATTGTTTCTCTCTGGTCTGTTACGCCTTCTTTCACAGTTTTTGAGAAGGACATCTTCATTTTTATTCCTTTGATTCAATGTGGCCCTCCTCTGGATGCACTCCAATAAGTCCATTTCTCTATTGTACTGAAAACTTCACATCTGAATACAGTACTCCAGGTGAGGCCTCAGGAGTGCAGAGTAGAGGGGCGGGTTCACCTCCCTTGACCTGCTGGTCATGCTGCTTTTAATGCAGCCAATGATACAGTTGGTTGCAAGAACACATTGCTGGCACATGGGAGTGCTGGTGGATGGCCAGACAAGTCCTTTTTGGCAGGGCTGTGCCCAATCCTTTTGTCCCCCAGCTTGTATAGGTAGTGGGGGTTGCTGTAATGCCCTGCTCTTGGATTTGTTGAAACCTCGTGAGATTCTCCTGGACCCACTGTTCAAGCCTGTCTAGGTCCCTCTTGTTAGCATCCTATCCTTCGGTTGTGTCATCTGCACCCCACAGCTACAGCTTGGTGTCATTCACAAACTTGCCTGGGTGCTCTTTACTCCACTGCCATTGATGACACACTGTCATTGATGAAGATTTTAGTGTATCAGTCCTGGCACTGACCCCTGGGGGACACCATCTGTCACTGTTCTCCATCCAGACGTTGAATCATTGACCACCATTCTCTGGATTTGATCCGGCAGCCAGTTCTTTGTACATCAAACAATCCACCATTGAATTATTATCTTTCCAATTTGGAGAGAAGGATGTTGTAGAAAGTCTTACTTTTGGAGCTAGCCAGTAGTATTAGGATTTAATCTGGAATTTCAAATAACTGTACCCCTCAATAGTTTTCACTTCCCTTGTCTTCTAGTCTATGCTGCACATTCAAAACTTTGTTTGCTCTTCCGCTTTGTATGGCTAGTTTATGCTGCCTGTGTTTGGCATAGAAAGTTCAGAGACAACCTTCATGGTCTGTTCCTTTGCTCTCTTAGTCTTAAATAATATATAGCAGTGACAGTGACAAATGTTTGGTGGCTCTGTTCACTGGCCGAAGAATAAACCAACATCAGATGCTTCAGTGGGTCACACAGCTATATTTTTCATACTACTGCAGCAAATAGCCCAAATTTTAGGAGGTTCATAGGAACAACTTTTGTAATGAAAATAGCTACTGGCATGAGTTTGCTTATATCTTATTCTGGCTCTTTACTAATGCTAAGATGGAAAATAATAAAATGGACTGTATTAAGGCAACCATTCATATTTAAGTCAAATAGTTTTTAACCTTGTACAGTTCTGACACTTGCATAGCTTTTATGGAATTATTACTGTATTTACGTGTTATTATAGTCATGCTTATGAAAGTTGTTCACTGTGGTTTAACTCAGCAGGCAGTGAAGCATCATGCAGTTGTTGACTCACTCCTCAGAGGGATAACAAGTAGAATCTGAAAAAAAGGTAAAATTCAGTGACTGAGATTAAGACATTTTATGAAGACAGAAAAGGAAGAGGAAATAATAATGACGAGAAAAAAAATATATGTGAAGCGAATTGTCCTGGTTTTATAATTTTGTTATCAGTATTCCACATAATAACATCATGTAAAGCACGGAGAATTAAAGAGTCAATACTCCAATTCCATGGAATGACAACCTTCCGGATACCTGGTCCTCAGAACACAAAAAAGAACTACA